GATAGCGTTTCACACTTGTCTCTGATAAGCAGCGATTTTTTTTTTTTGATTTTCTGCTGTAATTTTATCGACCGCTCACTGCTCTGTTATAAATAGCCGCAATCGCGATATTTTATTGTCATTCAGTTTTGGCAACAGCTCCGAACATTACAATTTCCGGCTAAAAACTTATCTAAAAATTAAAGCTTAATCTCAACTTTAGTTAATTTTTTATTGTAAAAAAAAAAATAATAATAATAAATCCGATATGTACTCGCGCGTAATGTGTTTGGCTTCGATTGCCCTATTTGCCATTTTGGCAAATGCTGTTGTAAATGCTGGTGTCGCTAGAGATAGCGATAACCTAACACAGCAAGAAGTACGTGACATTACGGTTGTCAAGGATATCGCTGAATTCAAGAAGAACCATCCAGGCTTGGTTTTGGCGCGTATGACAAAGGAGGAAGGCAATGCGAGGAGCCAATCGGTGCGCTACAGTCTAGGCGGTCGTGTGTCAGGTAAGTGTGTGGCGAATTAGTATTTGGGTTAAACCTTATCATCGTAGGTAAATAGATTAAGAATATGAACGGTGTTATCTTTGGCGAACGTTTATTGGCCTCCCTTAAAATTTGAATTTGCATGAGTCGAAATGTTTCCTAAGAAACAATAAACTGACGTTTTCACAACTTGGGGTTATATCTAGCCAAGTGAAAAACTATAACAGCCAATTCAACTAATATACCATACCATATATATACCAAACTATAACAGCCAATTCAATTAATATAAAAACAGATACATATATATAACAATAGTTTTCTAGTTAGAGAATATAATTATGTAGAAAAAAATTTGTGCATTAATTGGAGATAAATCCTACGAATTGATTTTTGCATAAAAATCTACCCAAATTTTTTTTTGAGTTGTGTCTCTTTTGAAGGTGGTGTGCGATTTGTTACTTAAATTTCCAATTGAGTTTGTATGCATTGCACCAATCCTCTATGGGTAATTAAATATATATTGGTGCAAAAATTAATTATGAGATATCTTATTAAAAAAAAAATGATTTTTTATTGCAAAAAAAAAAATTCCAACCCCTGACGACCGATGGGTCAAAAGAGGCCACTTTTTGATTTTTTTGAATGCAGTTGTTTCTTAAAATGTAATTTAGTTGCGAAAATTAATTATACGTACAGTGGCTATTTTTGAAAAATATTTAGAAATTATATTAATTTCAAATGTAAACCTGAAAGGTCGGAATTTGCTAATTTTTTTAATTAAATTGATGAAATTATCCATACTGTCAAAAAAAATTTTCTTTGCAATATTTGTTTTTACATATATCACTAAAAACTAAATTTTTTTTTTAAATGTACCAATAAAGAGTGTCGTTTTGGTCTCAGTCCTTGTGCAACGAGCATGAGACTTTATTTAGATCAACTACAGGTATTTTGTGGAAAACTTGAATGCCTACACTAACCCGTAAATCTGGGTATATGCAGCGTCTTTGGGAAACTAAAGAATAGCACTGCCGGGATAAAAATAGCAAAGATTGATTCTAATAGCTTGGCAGTACTGAAACCAAATGCAGGCAACGATTTTTAAAGAGTGAAGAAAAGTGGAACCCAGCTCGGTGACTCAGACAATGCCCATCTCAATTGTCTGGGCTCCCCGCCAGAGGGAAATAGAAGGTAGCGAGAGATCGGACGCATTTGTTAGAACATGAGCGCGTTTGGATGCATGGTGCTGCGATGTCCTTCTTTTTGTTGGAATTAGGTACGAAAACAACGCATCCATTTTGCTGTTTTAATTTCCTTAAACCTAAGCAGATTTTGGGTGTCAAAGAGTTCAGATGTTCGTCTTTTAACATATCGGGGCCAAGTGCCTCATACCTAATTCTTGCAAAGGCGGGGAAGAAGTATAAAAAGTGTTCCGCCGTCTCACTCTCTTGAAGGCAGGATGGGCTAGTGGAGAGTTGTCATGTACGCCTATCACAGTCAGGTGTTATACCAATATTCGTTTCTTTATAGTATGCACTCTCAGACAATATAAATATGTACAAACAGGGATCCATTTACAGTTGCTGAAAATCAAGGGAAGAGATGTTCAAAACTCCCTACTTGTATGATACATATAACACGTACTTTCGTCAGTGGATCAGCTAAATAGGCCAGAGTTTGATTCGTTAAGTACTGCTGCACTTTCCACTTTTAGAATAGGACTTCAATACAACAGAAACTTCCATAGCTGATGCTCAGATCACAGTGATAAAACAGTTCTTTATTTCCCATGCGAATGCCCACTATTGTGAGGCCGATTGAGGAAGCTTTCATACACAAAGACTTGCCTGTAGGTAACAATGTACTACCGGGGGCAATAGTCAGATGCTGAGTAAGCTTGGGGTTAAAGCAGACCTTTTTAGGCTCATTCACCGCATGATCAGTGACAGAGTTGTCGCAGCGGAGTGGTGTGGTACCATC